TATACGCTCCGGGCGCGTACGTTCCATAACACACCTCAGCCGTTCCATGATTTTGTTAAATTTCACCAACAGCTCAATTAAATAATTAAATAAATTGGTTTAAAAAGTCAGTGACAGATTGACTAGTTGTATGGGGTGTGCTAGTGGCCAAGTCAAAAAATACATGGCTGCACTAGATGGTTGCTGCAAATACTGGGGTGATTTTAGCAGAGGTTCTGAAATGGCTAAGCTGACACACTTTGACAGGAATATCATAGTTTTACACCAACACGAGGAAATTTTAAACATCATTTTCTTTGCCTGCCTAAGACTTTTGCACAGTAGTGCATAAACATAAACACGGCTAAAAACTTAGTTAATAACAGCATTTCTGTAGTTAGTAAGTGTGGGACAAATATGGATTAGATGGCCGGATCAAATGACAGGGCTGTCCGGGAAATACATAGCTGTCCATTCAAACAGTATGAAATCTGATTTAAAGTGCGTCTCCATGCATTTATGTTGTAAATAGTATTTTAATAACCGTTGCTAGTTATCAGCGGCAGTCAATCATGATTGAATTTCCATTTTTTAATATAAGAGCTCTCCTCTCCTTTATTACAGCTTACATCCTTTGCCGCAATGTACTGTATTTAAGAGAATTTTAATTTTAGTTAATGAAATTTCTCATCTTTTTTCTTTGATGATTTTGTTAGTACTTCTGAACAATCCAAGATATCACTGGAAATTACAGTGACGAACCGCATAGCGCACACCATCTTTTCGATACACACCAAAAAGTTGTAGAAATTAGAAAATAGAAATCGTAATGATGCTGTTTTCAGTAGTAATGAAAATAGTGAAAGAAAAAAGAGATTTAGGGAACAAATGATGTCAGCTTGCACTCACCTGGGGGGTATTCCAGAAAGCTTGGTTAACTTACCATTTGGTAAATCTTAACCTCTGGGTTGATATACCCCAAACCCGCATCCCATGAGTATTTCGGTTCCAAAACACCTGAGAATGTTATGAATGAATGAATGAATGAA